CCCATTGCCTCTTTTCACAGATGTAGGCAGTTTGATTACTGTGTATTTCATCTGGTGAGATCCATGTCTATAGACACCATTTATGTTGTTGTAAAAGGGTATTTGCAATGAATAAGTCATTGGTCTTAGAAAATTCTGTAATGTGATCTCTGGTGTCATGTCTATCACCAAGGCCATATTTTTCAACTACTGATGTTGCTGCTTTTGTTTCCAACTTTCACATTTCAATCACCAGTATTTATCAATGCATCTTGATTGCACGTTTGGTCAATTTTACACTACAGCAGTTGGTAAAAATCTTCAATTTCTTAATCTTTGGTTTTGGTGGTTAGTGCATAAATTTGAATAATAGTTGTACTAATTAGTCTTCCTTGTGATATTTTCTTAAAACTGACAACATTGTACTTCAGGATAGATGTTGAAATGTTCTTTTTAATGTGACACCATTCCTCTAATTGGTCATTCCCAGCATAGTAGACCATATGATTATCTGATTCAGAATGGCCAATACTAGTCCATTTTCTCTCACTAACACCTGGGATCAGTGCTCTGGTGGTGCAGTGGGTAAGGCATTTGGCTGCTAACCAGTGGTTCAAACTACTAGTTTTGTGGGAGGAAGTTGAGGCAGTCTGCTTCCATAAAGATTTACAGCCTAGGAAACACCTTGGGGATCCTTGTGAGTTGGAATCAACTCAGTGGCAGTGGGTAATGCATAGGATATCTATCTTTATGTGTTCCGTTTCATTTTTGACAACTTCCAATTTTCCTGTATTCATACTTCATACATTCTACATTCCAATTATTAATGAATATTTGTAGCATTTTCTTTCCATTTTGAGTTATGCTTCATTGGCAAATGAATCTCCCAAAAGCTTTACTTATTCTGCTCTACGTCATTAAGGTCAACTCTACTTTGAGGAGGCAGCTCTTCCCCACTTGTATTTTGAGTGCCTTCTAACCTGAGGGGCTCATCTTCTGGCACTGTATCAGACAATGTTTCACTGCTACTCATAAGGTTTTCAGTGACCAACTCTTTCAGAAGTGGATCATCCCATCCTTGTTCCCAGTTTGTCTTAGTCTGGAAGCTCCACTTAAACCTGTCCACTGTGGATGACCCTGCTGGTATTTGAAATACCAGTGGCATAGCTTCCAGCCTCAGAGCAACATGCAAGCCACCACAGTACAACAAACTTTTAGAAGAATGGTGGATACAATGGAATACTATTCAGTAATAAGTTATGAATATCTGATACACACACAAGTGCATCTTAAAAACATAGTTCAACAAAATAAGCCAGACACAAAATTGTAGTTACAATTTTGTAGTTAGAATTGTATGAGTCTGTCTATATAAAGTTCTAACATAGGCACAATTACCTTACGGTGATAGAAGTCAGAAAGTGATTGCTGTGTAGGATGGGAGTATGCTATAACTGGAAAGGGGCATAAGAGAACTTTCTGGGGTGATGGAAATGCTCCATATTTTGTTTATAATGATAATTATGTGAGTATGTACACTTGAAAACTCATTGAACTGAACATTTAAGAAGTGGCCGTTGTTTGTTAATTATACTTTAATTTTAAAAAACAAACAAAAACGCACTGACTCTCCAATGTTTAGAATAAAGACAAAATTTAACCAGACCCACAGAGCCCTGCTCAGTCCACCCTGCCTGTTCTCTTCCTAAAACCACCTCCTTCCCTGGCTTATTCTGCTCCAGGCACAGTGGCACTTCTTTCAAACTGTCGTATGTGCTAGAGTTACCTTACTACACAGAATCTGTGCATGCCTGCGAAAAGAACAAGGAGGCCACATGACAAGGAACCTCCCGCAACATTGTTTAGTGCCCTTCCCAACAGAAATACACCAGGTGGACAACTTTAGCAATCAGGAGCTCCTCAGTTGCTCATGGCAAATTCCACCTTGGAATTTACAAACACTTAAGGGTAGAAAAGCCACACTAAGTAATTTACACTGCAGGCCACCTCCTGGCTTTTCTAGCCATTATCCCTTTTATGCTTCAAAAATTCACATCCCCTTCACCATCAGTCTAAGAATAACCACACCCATGAAAGCCTGTAAGCCAGCCACTTCATGCTTTGATCTCCCCCCATTTTAGAGAGCCAATTTAGCATAGTGCCTAAGGCACTTGACTGCTAACCAGAAGGCTGGCGGTTCAAACCCACCAGCCACTCCTCGGAAGGAAGGTGGGGCAATCTACCTCCTCTACCTCTTAGTGATACTGCCTTGGAAACCCAAGTAGGGGCCGCTATGAGTTGGGCCAACTCGATAGCACATAACAACATCAAACCAGTACTCTAAGGAGACAAACATGGTCCTTTCTCTCTGGAGAATCTTCTGTTCTGTTTGGAAACTTCAGGCATCTGGATCCATAAACAAGCAAAGTCCAGCCAAGCTCAAGCCATCAAATTGCAGCAACTTAACACCAGCTCAGTGTCAAACATCTTTCTCTTCATTTGGTCGGGTTCTGGTCAGCTCAGCCCTAGCCTTCCCAGCTAGGTCATGGATACCAGCTGCCAAGTTTAGGAGTCACACTCTTCCCTTCACTTCAGACCAGCCAGCACCTTCTCTCACATCTTCAGTTCTCAGGGACTATTTCAATGCCCATAGGCTCACAACTCCTTGCACTTCAGACCAGCCAGCTCTTCTTCTCATCCCCAGCTTCCATGGCCTAGGTCAAAGAGTACCAAACTCAGCCCGTTTCTTCTTTGCTGCACTTCCCCCATTTCCACTCAGGTGGATCTAGGTGATCACAAGCAAGTAATATACAAGTCTACTACTCACTGGCTTCCTTTAACTTTCAGTCCTGGAAGCGGTTTCTCTCACTGACCATGACTTTCCTGTATGGACGCACCCAAAACCAGCCAGCTTGCTTGAAATTTAAAGAGCCAAACAGTCATTTTTTCCTCTTCAGGTCCTTATTCAAATGCAAATCTTCTGTTTCCTCAGTAGTACTAGGTGGGGCTCAGGTTTTCTACCTAAACCCCCTCCACTCTACACACAGGGTTTGAAACAAAAGCCTGTTTCTTCTGGGCAAATTCTGTTTCCCCTTTTAACATATCCAATCAAGTACTGGCTGAAGGTGGACTTACACTCTCTATTATCCACATACCCCATAATCATTTCTAATGTCCAAGCAGGTAAGAGAACATTCAATAGCCATAGTACATTCGGATAAACACGTAATCCAAAACACATAATCCTTTTAAAGACATTCCAGGTTCATCTCTTCACCTTGATTACAATCCCATTCTATCCATATGGCCTTGGGCCTTTGGCTGGGTGTAACCAAAGGCCCTAGGAGCTCTGGTAGCATAGTGCCTAAGGGACTTGACTGCTAACCAGAAGGCTGGCGGTTCAAACCCACCAGCCACTCCTCGGAAGGAAGGTTGGGCAATTCTACTTCCGTAGTGATACTGCCTTGGAAACCCAAGGAGGGGTCACTATGAGTCAGGGCCAACTCGATGGCAAATAACAACAACAACAACAACAACCAAAAGCCCTAGCCTCTGGATCAATTATCTCCTTTAAGAGGTAACACCAAAAAGTAACCATCTAGGAATCCAAAGTTTCACTTCCCAGCCCCTTTCCTTCTTTCTTTTACAAAATCTCATGCTTGTATGAGTCTGGAGCCACTGCAGTGAATCCCACCACTTCCGACACCAACTGCGAAAAGGACAAGGAGGCCACATGTTCCGACCTCCTCTAACACCACAAAAGGAAGACAGAGTCACCATCAATAGCCCAAGGCCTATTCCTATAAGGCCAGACATGCTGCCTCCCTCCAGCCCTTTCACCAACCATTCCTCCCAAAGCACTCACCACCTCTCTCCTGGGTTTGATAATTCACTGCAGTGGCCACACAGAACTCACAGATTACGGGGTTTATTAGGGAAGCACCAGGCTACAATTCAAGTTTAGTAAAAATGCTCAGTCTCTCTCCCAGCCCAGTGTCCCTCAGCCAACAGTCTCTCACAGTCTCTCTCCCAGCAGTGCTTTTCCCTCAGTGTCTCACTCAGCAATGCATGTCTCTTGCATCTCTTTCCCAGCAGCACTTGTCTCAGGAGCGCATGTCTCTTTCAACAGCTCGTCTTCCTCAGCCAGCAATCAGAGAGAGCTCTGCCTCTAGGCCTCCTTTTGAGCCCAGCCGAGTGGCCAAACCAACAACCAATCATAACATCAGAATTCTAAACACCTGAGAGAGAACGGGAACCTCCCATAACATTGTTTAGTGCCATTCCCAACAGGAATACCCCAGGTGGACAACTTTAGCAATCAGGAGCTCCTCAGTTGCTCATGGCAAATTCCACCTTGGAGTTTACAAACACTTACAGGGAGAAAAGCCACGCTAAGTAATTTACTACACTGCAATGCCATTTCCACTGTGTAGAATATTCTTCCCATCTCTCTTTTTAAAGGTAACTCTTACCAGTCCTTCAGATAGTTCAGTTGTTTTTTCCTTGGAAACTCCTTCCCTTAATTCCCTAATTCAACCAAACCTCCTTCTGTGTACTATCATATCATACATGTCTTTCCATTGTAGCACCCTCACAGTTGCGTTATTTACATTTATTTTTATGTTTTCAGATGACTCTTCTACTTTCTCAGTAGTCTATAAATTAGGGCAAGACCTAATATCCCTGGTTCACCAGGGCCTATGTGTTTTGCCAAGGATTAGCGTGGAGCTTAGGTCTCTTGGTGGCATAAACAATTTGCACTCAGCTCTTAACCAAAAGGTTGGTGGTTCAAATACACTCACTGATGACTCTAGGAAGAAAAGCCTGGTGATCTACTTCCATAAGATAAGAGCCATTGAAAACCCTATAGAGTGCAGTTCTACTCTGAAACACACGGGGTTGCCATGAGTCAGAATCAACTGAATGGCAATCAGTTTAAGTATCATGGAGCCTGGCATGTAGTAAATACTCTGTAATTATTCAATGAATGAATGGTGAATTTGTTGATTTTATTTTTATAGGAAACGGTGATTATTACTGTAGTGGGAATGATCTGAACAACTTCACTGATATTCCCCCTGGTGGCATAGAGGAAAAAGCCAAAAATAGTGCCATTTTACTGAGGTAAGAATGACATTTCAGAGGACTCACCCTTACTCATCAAAGTACTCTTTAGCTAATCAAAGTAAAATATGTGCCCTCTATGTCAGCATGATGAATGGTGAGTGTTGGAAAAGCACATTTCTCCAGACTGCCTCCATCATTATTTGGGCACTTGTTCCATCACTTTGACTTCCATTGCTTGATTTTCATGCTGCTCAATAACAGATGTGACTGGAAAGCATAAAAAAAGGCTCCAGTTGTAAATAAGATCCTCTTCTACTGAGGCAGAGGAGTGTAGCAAATGCTTATCCAGCCAGAACAATGCATGGCTCCCATGACTTCTAGTACTGGGAGACTTGAGTGGTCTCGAAAAACAAACCAGAGATCTGAGGCTTCTCTCTTCCTGTTCATTATCCCTCTGAGTCCCCATTCCCCGTGATGCCATAGTTTTGTAAAACTTGACCCATCCATCACTATCCTCACCTTAAAATCTACAACCCAGACCAAACTGCCTACAATGCAAAAATCAAGCTGGGGTACACTTATAATACTCAGATGTCTGCCTCCATCAAGACCATTCAAATGGATGCTCCAGTGAATATGGTAAGAAAATGTGAAAGGTGGCAAGACAGGAGGCATTGCTGGTTGAAGTTTTGGAAACACCTCACCTGGGGTGGAGGGCTTATTATTTCAGACTCATTTATGTCTTGCCTTTAATTCAGTAATGCTGTTTTGGAAAATTTAAACATGCTTTTATGTTTCCATTTCTGTAGGAAATTTGTAGATTGTTTCATAGATTTCCCTAAGCCTCTGATTGCAGTGGTAAATGGCCCAGCTGTGGGAATCTCCGTCACCATTCTTGGGCTATTTGATATAGTGTATGCTACTGACAGGGTAAGTCAACTCCCAGAAACGTATGAAGTTAGGCAAGTAGACTGCAAATGAGGTCCTTTGACTTTTCCGTTATTGTTGCTAGTAGTAAATGGATAACACAGGGTTTGTGGTAGAAGGGGCCGAGTTTAGATTTTTCTCAAAGATTTAGTCTAATGAATTTGACTGATTTTTTTTTAATTTTTATTGTGATTTGGGCGACAGTTTACAGAGCAAATTCGTTTTCCATATGGCAGTTCACATACAATTTGTCTCATGACATTGACTATAATTTCTCACAATGCAAGAGCTCTCTTCCCACTTCCTCCTCATAGTTACCTCTTCCCTGTGTCCTTCCCTCCTATGCACTCCTGCCCCCTGAGCTGTTTCCTTGTGCATACACAGCCCTTCTGTTCTTCCATGACTGATCTCTCCAGGGAGTGTATCTACCTCATGTAACTATTCAGCTCATATGTCTGTCTTTTGTTTGGCTGGAAGCCACAGGAGTTAGTTAACTTCCAGACTTGAAGGCCAGCTAGAGGCCATAGTCTCAGTG